ATAGTATCTGCCTTAAACTTGGGTGCAATGGGTTTCTAAGCTCAAATGCAAATTATTTCACCATTAAAATCACTAAACTGCTAACAAAACCTAACAGTAACAAGTTAGAGTATACTGGAGGGGTGAATGCTGACTAGAAATAGGGACAAAGGGGTTCTTGTCCTTGCTCAGCCATTAATTTACTATGTGACCTTACCTAATTAGTGAGCCTCTCTGGGTCCCAACTTCCTCGTTTTAGTATGACTTTTAGGGCCCTTTAAAACTACATGCTAAGATTCAGCATGTGTAGCACTGATCTGAAAATTGATTTACATTCATACTGCCCTCCCCGCACCCCCCCGAAAAAAGGTCACATTTCACATGACAGTTTTAAATGTCTGAGCATGGGTTTCTCTCAATGGCCATTTATTAAAATGTCAGATGAGCTTCAGTTCACTTCAAGGCAAGAATCAAGGCAAGTATACTAACGCAAGTAGTGCTGAAATATTCAAGTTTCACCGACAGCAGCTGCTGCTGAGAACAGCCTTTCTTTAACTGTGTAGTTGAAAATTATATCTCTTTACAAATAGAGAAAACTAGGGTGATTTTTAAAACTTACGTTTCAATTACAGTTGACATGCAATATCATATTGATTTCAGGTGTACAACACAGCGAGTAGATATTTACATACCTTATGAAGTGATCACCCCGGTAAGTCTACTACCCAGCTGGCAGGGGTGATTTTTATGGTCTCAACAATGCAAATGCATAGCTTTCTCTTCCTTTTATTCATTTACTTAGGATAGAGGAAAGCAGAAGGGCTAGCTTGCTTTGAGAGGCGGGGTGAAGACAGAACAGACCCAGACAAGACCCTCTCAATCGACCTACTATACTAGACAGCCCATCCTTCCAGTTAGTGCTTCCAATCAAACGCCATGAAAGATTTCCAGTGTCTGGGATGCCTGAACAAGTGAGGAATGCCATGGAACAATAGCTAACCTCAAGTCTGAAGAATTGCACTATTCAGAACAAAACAGAAATCAGTGACTGAGATCCATTAGACTAAATTACAACTTTTTATATGTACAGCTTTAAAATGAACATATATTGAAAGTACCTTTTAATACCAAAAGACACTAGCTTGCATACACAGCATATTAAATCTAAGTTAAACCTCGAAGAATTCCACCGAGTATTTTAAACTCATTTTACAGATGAAGAAGCAAAGTGTGAAGAATTAGGGGATTTGCCCAATAGCAAAGGGTTAGCAATTGTCAGAGCCTTGTTTTAAACTCAGTTCTGGTTCTAAGTCCTCCAATCTTTACATTTCAAAATGGTACTTTTGATAGAGTTTTCAGTCTCTACTATTTTGTCTGATTTAGGACATGTTATATTTCACTAAATTGCTATGTCTCCCCCCCCCCCTCAAAAAAAAACACCTCTGATCCTCCTTTGGGTTCTTACAGCATTCTGTGTATAAACACATGCTTACTGGGCCTTCTCATTGTTCATTTCCTTTTCTCCTTGGCTAGACTCATTTCTTCAACAGCAGAGACTGTCTTATCTTCCTTTATAGATAAGCCACTGTGGTCGCACCCTGTGACCTCCCACGCTTCAACCACTCCATCTAACTCCCCCTTCCAAACAACAAGAACACTCCACAGAGCTGGTGGACATTCAGTTTGCTTCCACAGGGCCTGACACACAATAGGTGATGAATAATTGTTAGTTAAATGGATGGTGGGTGGGAGGGTGGATGATGCACTACTCTATGTCACAGCACTTTACAAGGTACACATTTACATACAGCATCCCAGGTGAGTCTTACACTGTGAATTTCATAGTGATCATTTACAAAATCCTCTTTAGTGTAGGTCATCACATCATCCTTCTCAATTTCAGAAACTTGCCCAGAGGTACACAGCTAGTAAGTAACAGCCTTTCCATTTCAGCGGGGCCCACAACTACTTTACCCCCTTGCTTCTGTCTTCTATTTCCAAAGCAGCTGTTAGAGAACAGGCTGGACTTGGTCAGTTGCAACAAGAAAGAGGTGTTCTCCCATTCTGGTTTCCAGTTGTGAAACCTGAGACTCCTGAAAATCTGTGGGTTACAGGCAGATCAAGAAGGGAGAGTCACTCCATTAGTTGTCACAAAGGAAATCATGTAAGAAGTCACTGATTCCACTTCCTGTCCACACACACAGTGACCCATCCTCAGCTTGCTGCTCAGACACAGGCTGTTCCAGTAGAGCAGGTGATGACTCAGAATTCACTTCTCACCTCAATTTTCTGAGGCTATAAACACACATTCATCAGATAAAAAACATGGGGGGAGGGGGTGCCGACTTGAAAGCCAGAAGACAGACTTCCCGGTTCCACTCCCACACACTCTGACCTATCCTTTTGTGCAGATTCACAGAAAGCAGAGGGGACTGATTTTCACATCCAGCCCCAAAAGGTGCTACCCAGTGTTTGCCAAGCAGAGGAAGTGCTGCACTTCCTTCAGTTTGCCCAGAAACGCAAACTCGAAAGAGCCCTTTGAATAGCCAATCAAAGGCACACAACCAGAGTGCGATGCCCAGAACAACTTGGAAAACTGCAAGCTCCCTTTAAGGGTCAAACAAACAGTAACAGCTCCTTTCTAGCCAACCAAAGAACCTTAGGGCTCAGTATCTTAAATGTGTGTGTTTCTAACACAGCCATTTCCAACAGGTATGCCTGGCTGCCCTAAGGATTCAGGCCTCCCTCGCTCAGGTGAAACCTTCCTCTCTATCCCTTCCTCACATTCTCTCCACTTTGTTCTCTGGGAAAAACTCAGGGAGACAACGTCCCCACAAGCTCAGCACGTGCAATGATCAAAAATGCATTGTCACACGGAAGCAAGGAGAGTGAACACGGGCCGGTGAGTGGCTCCTATACGGAATGAAAGTTCTTCAAGTTTTAGGCATTCTTTCTCCTACTGCTCATGAAAGAGACATACGGCAAAGTCTGTTTTCCTAACCTCACGTGGAGAATTTAAGTGAAGGGTTTCTGCTCCACAGCGAGGTCTAGTGACACACTTCAACCCCCAGCAGAGAGTATCCAGGGATGTCGGGCCCTACGCTGTACTGCAAGGGATGCAGCAACCAGCATTAACTGCAGCAATTTGGGGTCCTCACGATTCCCCCTCATTTGCCAAGACCTCACAACTCGCCGTTGGAAAGCCAGGATTGGAGTCCTGCGCTGAGCTGCACGGATTTTAAAACCGCGCCTTACTTTCACTAACAGAAAGCGAGGTGGGGGCGGGGGCCCACCAACCGCGGGGAATAGTAAAGAGACAAAGATCACCCCAAAGGCAGACGCGCGCGCCCTGAAGCCGAGACTCTGCAACACGCATTCCATCCACCTTTCACTCTGGGGTTTCCTGTGGGGTTTATTCCCCCGGCCCAGACCTCTCCAGAAAGTTTGAGGCTGTTCACGCAGACTTTCAAAGGTCCATTGTTTCCTTCCCCGTGAGACGTAATGAAAAGAGAGAGGCAGCGAACGAAATCACAGACCAAAGGTTCCCAAAGACCCTTTCTTACGGGGAGGATTTACTCCGGGGTATCTTGTTCCTCCCCATCCATGGAGGCGGAAAGGAGGCGCGCGGGGAGAGTGGGGAAAGGGTGCTGAGGGAAGGGGGAGGGGGGTGTTTTCCACCTCAGCAGAAATGCCCACATGCCAAACCGCCGGGAGCAGGGAAGGTGCGGGGGACCGCAGTCCGCGCTCTCACAGTGGCCCCCAGGGGGCAGCAAGGGAGGCGGGGCGGGGGACGGGGGACCCCCTCTCCTCTTACCTTTCCCTCCCCCGTTTAGCGTCGGCTACTTCAGGTGCCTACACGGAGGTCCAAAGAGACCGAGTTCTG